ATGATGTCTTCATCTGGGAATTCAAACTTCATGGATTGGTAGTCTTCCACGGCTTGGTGAGCAAGGTGATCAGCTAGTACACTTCTATTTATTGCAATCTCGGTAGTATACTGTATGTCATTTATTGTCAGGATCATCTACCATCTCGCTATTCTCCCATAGAGGGCAGGTTTCTCGAAGATGTACTTTATTGGATCCATTTTAGATATCAACAAGGTAGTATGGGTCAACATATACTGTCTTAGCCGGCGAGCAGCCCATGCCAGAGCGCAACAAGTTTTCTCGAGTAGTGAATATCTTGTTTCACAGTCGGTAAACTTTTTGCTCAGGTAATAAATAGCGTGCTCTTTTTGGCCAGACTCGTCATGCTGCCCCAACACACACCCCATTGAATTTTCCAAAACAGTCAGATACATGACCAATGGTCTTCCCTTGACTGGTGGCATCAATACAGGAGGCTCTTGCAGGTACTCTTTGATTTTGTTGAAAGTAGTTTGGCATTCGTCATTCCATTTGACTACTTGATCTTTCTTCAGTAATTTGAAGGTTGGTTCACAAGTAGCTGTCAGGTGAGAAATGAATCTGGAAATATAGTTTAAATGTCCCAAGAATCCTCTGACTTCCTTCTCAGTACGAGGAGCAGGCATCTCTTATATCGCTTTCACCTTGGCAGGATCTACTTCAATATCTTTATTGTTGATGACAAAGCCTAGGAGTTTACCAGACCTTACTTCAAATGTGCATTTATTTGGGTTTAACCTCAGCTTGTACTTCTTTAATCTCTCAAAGAGTTTCTGTAAATGGTCAAGATGCTCTTCTTCTGTTTGAGATCTAGCTATCATGTCGTCCACATAGACCTCTATTTCATGATGTATCATGTCGTGAAATAGAGCTACCATTGCATGCTGATAGGTTTCCCCAACATTCTTCAGTCCGAATGGCATAACCTTGTAGCAGAATGTGCCTCACCGTGTGACAAAGGTTGTCTTATGCATGTCCTCATGCGCCATTTTGATTTGGTTGTAGCCTGAGAAACCGTCCATGAAGGAAAACACTTTGTGTTGTGCCGTATTGTCAACTAGAATATCAATGTGGGGAAGTGGGAAATCATCCTTAGGGCTCGCCCTATTCAAATCTCTGTAGTCCACACACATTTGTACCTTTCCGTCCTTTTTGGGCACGGGAACAAAATTGGCAACCCATTGCGGATAGGAAGTGACGGCCAAAAATCTAGCGTTGAATTGTTTCATGACTTCTGCTTTAATCTTCTCCGACATATCTGGTCGCATTCGACGAACCTTTTGCTTTACCGGTAGGAAGTCCTCTCTTGTAGGTAGACGATGTACTACGATATCTGCATCAAGTCCTGGCGTGTCTTTGTATGACCAGGCAAAAACCTCAACATACTCGTGCAACAACTGAATCTATCGCTCTTTGACACTGGGTTCCAGATTGGCACCCACCTTGACTTATCTTTTGTCTTCTTCGGTACCTAGGTTGATTGTGTCCACTGGTTCCTCGTGAGGCTGAATGGTTCTCTCTTCTTGTTGTAGTAGTTTGGCAAGCTCCCCTGGTACTTCACAATCTTCCTCACCTTCGTCTTCGGCTTGGTAGATTAGATTTTTGGAGTCACAAAAAGCCATAGCATAACCGTTACCTATGGGATCCCGAATGGATGTAGACCTGCATTGTGAGTGTGAGTGTGTGTAAGAGTATAGCTATCTTTGAAAGAAATGAAAATGTAAAAAACAATGAGCACAAAGTTTGTATGCAAAAACATCCATGATTCGTTGATGTCATATGGAAATGAGATAATAACCCTTACAAATGGACCATTATGCCTCAGGTAAGACACGAGGTTTTAACAGTCTGAATTATTTTAATATTACCGATCCAACAAAATGTAAAGACAAATTACTGTGGGATAAAAGTGATCAGGACGAAATCTCTAGCCTCCTAGTTGTTGAGCCCTCCACTGACAGTTGGGAAAATCCAATCCTTCAAGTTGTAGTTGTCTTCATCATCCTCCATGATGCTGACTTGGTGGTTATTGATCTTCAAGGGTGTTCCTCTGGCACGAGCGTGGTGTACGACCGTCTGGGCTCCTAAAGTGAAACCCAGACCGAACTTATCAGATTTGTATGGGATATCTGGGAGTTGACCCCAAATAGTGCACCCACCTTCTTTTATTGCTGCTTTGGCATCCTTCAAAGACGACATCCTGAGCGGAGGCCTTATGATCTTGGGAACTTGAGACATAGTCTTGGTTACTGCCAGAACTTGTGGGACTTCTTCAAAGTTCTGGAATGGAGTTTCAATAACTTCACCATCTAATTCCACATATCTGAAGGAATTTAGATGGCTGGCCATATACTCTTCTTCTCCATGAACGGTGATGATTTTCCCTTGAATCGGATATTTTAGCGTTTGGTGTAGCATAGAGGTAACAATGCCAACATTGTGAATCCATGGTCGGCCTAGCAAGCAGGAATATGAAGGGCGAATATCCATTACATAAAAAGTTGAATCAAATGTTTGGGTTCCAACTTTAATGGGGATGTCCACTTCCTCATGTACCATCCATTTTGAGCCGTCAAAGGCCTTCACTACTATGTTGCTCGGTTTCAATATCAACCCCTCACAGTCAAGCCTATCAAGAGCCTTTTTAGGCAACACATTCAGAGACGAACCGGTGTCCACCAAAACATGAGCCAAGGTCGTGCCCCTGCATTCCACTGAGACATGCAATGCCTCATTATGCTTCCTCCCTCTTGGCGTTAAATCAGCATCTGAAAAACCTAAACCATTATCTACAGTCAAGCTGGCTATGCAGTCTTGGAACTGATCGGCAGATGTTTCTTGGGGTACATGGGAAGTTTTGAGGAATTTTACCAAGGCTTGTGCATGCGCCTCGGAACATAGTAATAAATCCAGCATGGAAATTTTAGATGGAGTTTGCCCCAGTTGCTCAACTACATTGTAGTCGCTTCTTTTTATAATCTTTATAATTTCCTCCATTTCTTTCCGGGAGGTCTTAGGGATAGCCAATGATTGTTCCTTCTTTTGGACAGGCTCAATCAGAATACCTTTACCTCGAGTCTTGGTTGACTTGGTGTAGCGGTGAAAATCGAAGATCAAGCTATTAATTGACTTGACTCACAAAAAGCAAGAGTCGCCACCGCGCTTTATTATTTCCAAAGGAAAAGGGAAAAGAGCGAAATAAAACCCTAAAATATGCAATGTATAATAATACTTAAAAGTAATGAAAATACAATGCGTTTTGAAAAGAGATCGAGAGTTCGGGGGTTGGTTATACAATGGGAAGGTATTAGCACCCACTGCATCTGCGGTACTCCGCAGGAACCTTTTGAAATATCTGTTTTTGGTTAAAAATGTTTGTTTGATTAAAATGATTCATTTGGCTAAAAGATGGGTATGGACGAGATTTTTGAAGATACGACGACCTAGTGTCGAAGTTTTGACTTAAAAGGTGTGAGTTTAAAAATTGAATCTTTTGGGAAAATTATCTTAGGTTTAACAAAATAGTAAACAAATAAAAGATGAATGAGGGTATTCGCACGATTGGATGAGATGTGTTTGATGACATGAAGTCAGCTGAGTTGAAACATTTCCCTTGGAATTAATCATAAGCGGGTAGATCTAATATTCGAGTAAGAAATCATAAATAGTTAAAATCCACGAGAAAACGAACAAGGTAGATAACAAGATAAATTGTAAGAAACTAAATGAATGGACAAAGAAGAATCATGAATAAAAGAAGAGTGTAATTAAAAAATTATCTAGACTAATTTGAAATTCTAAGGTTACTAAGTAAACTAAACTTAAATTCTAAAGTGTCTAACTAAATTAAATAAAATTTTGAAGTTATTAACTAAAACTAAATTAAAATTCTAAAGTTGCTAAATTACATCTAAACTAGTTTAAGTATAAACTAAATTCATTATAAAATTACTAAGTTAATCTAAACTATATTAATAATAAAATTACTAACTTAAATCAAAACTAAATTAATTCTAAATTAAAGATTAAAATTCTAAGATTAAATTAAAATTCTAAAGTTATCAAAATGTATCTAAATTAATTGGAAGTTCTAAAGTTATAAAGTAGATCTAAACAAATTAAAAAATTTAAGTTATCAAAATATACCTAAACTAATTAAAGGTTCTAACATTACTAATTTATATCTAATTAAATTAAAATTCTAAAGTTATTAATTATGATTCTAAATATTTTAAAGTTATAAAATACATCTAAACTAATTAAAAAATTCTAAATTAATACTAAACTAAATCTAAATATAAGATTTACTAATATTTTTTTTATATTTTTTTTTAACAATAAACATGCCTACCCAATGAGATTTTGACGTGTCGCCGGATTTTAGATTAAAACATAAAATATAAGGAATGCAAAGCAGTATTAGTAAAAAACAAAACTTCATCTTTCTCAGTCACGCTCTACTTTCTCTACCCTTTCATTTTTCTTTTTTTTTTCAATCAATTTAATCAAAATTCAAAATAAAACCACATTACATTTTAACTCACATACAAACAAACATGACAAAAAAATGAAAAAAGGAAATGCGAGTTACCGAAGGCAAAAGTTAGCGGAGGGTCGCAGATTCAAGAATGAGATTGGGTGTTTCGATGTAGAGTTCGCGCGAAAGGAGTGATCGTTGTGGGAAGGAGGTTTGCAGGTGGAAGTGGTCGGCGCCATGATTGGTGGTAGCGGGTCCGATTTATTGTGCAACCGGCAGTGGTCGTGATGCAGGTGGACAGATCGGTGGTGTTCTGGCGGAGATGAAGCGGTGGGAATAAACTCATTATAAGCTAGTAATTCTTCTCAACAGTGTACCATCCCAATTCAAAACAAAATCTTCCTACACTTCCTCTACCTCGGGGTTGGGATAAGCCTCACACTTTTCAACTAACACAGACCTGCAGATTATCGTCCGCAGCTACTCGAATACTTTGCCAGCTCTACGGTTCAATCACAAATAGGGGAGAATCAACGCTTACAGGCTTGGCATCTTCCGCGACGATTTCAACTATAGTTCCTGACTGATCAGCTTCAATTTCATTCATCAATTTCATTGCCTCAATGATGCATAAGACTTGGCCCTTCTTTATTGTGTCTCCAACCTTCACAAATGGAGGTTCACCCGGTGCAGAACTTCGGTAGAATGTCCCTGCCATGGGGCTTTTAAGAGGCGGACGTGATGACTTAGGTGACTTGACATCAACAAGAGAAGTTGACGGTGAAGGAGTAGGAGGAGCCAGAGTATACGATGGCGTAACAGGAGGTGCCATTTGCGGCTGTGGTGAATACATCACTGCAGGTGGAGGAGCATATTCTGGTTGAGGCATAGCCTCTTTTTTCCTGATTGTTACTTCACAGTTTAGCTGCTTCAGCTTCAACTCTACAATGTCTCTAGAATCAACAAGCTTGACGAGACTTGCAACTTGAACAAAAAACTCAGAGATTGCTTCTTCATTTTCCAGGACGGAAGAAGATTGTTCAATCGAAGGTTCGGCCGTTGGTTCCACATCTGATTTAGCTTTAACAGGAGGCACATCATTGGAAGAACCATCAAGGGAAACCTGATTTAACTGGGCCTTAACCCTGGGGCATAATCCCTTGGTGAAGAAACGGAGGGAGTTGTTGGAATTAGGAGAGAGAAGAGGGAAAGAGATGGAGGAATGAGAAAAGTGTGGAGATTTGGTGGTGGAAGGTAAAGTTGCAGGTTTAAGAGTGATTAATATTGTTTTTGGCAATTTTGTATCGATCCTCAATTTCATCCAACAACCAATAGGAATAGAGCATAGTGTAAATAATATATTTTGTGATCAAATAGTCCTTAAATGATAAAAATAACCAAAAAACTAAATGTATTAAAATTAACTCAATTAAAAATGATTTTTTTTGAATATTTTATGAATAAAAATAAAGACCCAAAATGACCGAAAATGATAAAAAACGGACGAAAATTTATCTAAAAAAATAATATGAACACGTTAAAATAATCTACATGTCACAAAGATTAAAGAAAAAATATTCAAGAAGTCAAAAATCAAGAATAAAATAATAATAAAAATATCAGACTAAACAGACGTTTAAGGTTAAAAACGAGACTTCGAACTGTACCGAAAAAATAAAGCGAGCATACCGTCATAATCTACACGAAGCGCAGATTCATAAAATGATCGGTAAAAGGTGAAAACTTGAAATATTTTCTCGCTACTTTCCCGCATAGTGTCGAATCGCTTTTAACAGTCTGTCTATAAAACCGAAATATTTTATTATAGACATATAAACAATTTGGAGCAGTGCAAGAAAATAGGAAACAGATAAAAATGAATGAAATGAAATGTCGGGTATTTTACAACTGAAAGACGATGCAAACTTTGATTTAAACTGACTTTTTCTGGTCAACTTAAATACGACTAATGATGCAAAATGTGATGAATGAAGGTATTTACTAATGATTGTGACCAAATAACAAAATATGATATGAAAGTGCGACTAAAACATATTAGGGGCGAAATTTAGGGTGCAACAGTTGTGCCTTGATGAATCAGTCTTCGAGAATCCACAATCAACCGTACTTCGGGCTTGGGAGACTCAAAACCTTAATTGAGGCGCGACACCTGATGCTCTTGATTCAGACCTGTCTCTGCACATGAAGCAAAAGAAAACATGAACATACACCTTTGTATAGATTAGAAATTAGTGATACATAGGCTAAAAATGTTCAAAACACTTGACAATCTTCGCATAGTCAATGCTTGAAAGTGAGGGGTTAAAACCGACTGTATTTCGTGACCTTGACTTATCTTTAAAAATGCAAAAAATAAAAATGGGATCTTAAGTCAAAAATTGGGGTACAACACTTGGCAGCAGGAATTTCAGTAGGAGTGATAACAGGGGTTGTAACAGCTTTTTCAGTTGGAGTATTAGCAAAGATGATTGTAGGACTGGAAATAACCTTTGGAGGAGAAACAACAACAGGAATGATTACGGGTCCAGAAACAGCTTTTGGGGGAGCAATTTCTGGAGAGAATATCCTTCTGCTTCAGGTAATCTTGATGTTCCCTGCAATATTACTGATATCAGAGTCAACCTTCTCAGAACTTGAATCTTTAGCAGCTGGCCATTCTTTCTTGATACCGTGGTAGTAAGCATCCCCTCCATAATTCCATGGTACGGTTTTGTCTGACGAATACGGGATTGGTCCAGGCATTGTAATTATCAAAGGAGCTACTTTAGGAACTGATGTAATTCTAACAGGTCTTTTGGTGGAGACCCTGGAAGAATTATCGGAAATGGTCACAATGGAAACATCATTATAAGAAACAATTGGAACATAAGTCTTCTAGAATAAAATTTCCTTGTTATCTATTAGGCATTGAACGCCTGCTTTTAACAAAGGACAACTGGTTGGTGAGGACAAACAGAAATGACAGCTTTCATCATAGCCTGGGAAAACATCGGCATTCAATAAGTTCTTTTTGATAGTCAGGAGTGGGGTTATAAGTTCATCAATTGAAGTAACAAACATATCTTCCTCAACGGCGTTGGCATTATGGCTGTGTTTGGGCATAGGGGCAGTAATGACATTAGGAATTTCTGGCGCATCAAATTCAGTCTCTTTGGCTTTAAGAAGGTCTTGTACTTTGTTCTTCAAAGCCCAACAGTTGTTAGTGTCATGGCCGGGACTCTCAGAATGGTATGCACAACGGCCATTAGGATGATAGTGAGGAGAGGTTGTGTTAGGGTTCTTTAGAGCTTCTTTCAAAGTCACTAGGTTAGATCTTAACAGATGTGGCAATACTTGAGATAAAGTCATGTTAATTCTGGTGAATTGTCTGACTGGCCTTTCCATTCTTAGTTGGTTTCTTCTTTGTTGAGCAGGTGCTGGTTTGGGAATCATGACAGCCCCCACCATAGGACGGCGTTCAACTCTATCTTGATTTCTCTGAGGATATACAGCAACCACCTCTTTCTTTCCAATGAATGGTTTTCTTACAGTAGTAGAGGATGCATCTTTTTGAATCTTCCCATTCTTTATCCTGGCTTCTACCCTTTCTCTGGTCAATATCAATTCAGTAAAACCTGCCGATGAACTCCCAATTAAGTGATTGAAGAAAGGTCCAGACAAGGTGCCCAAAAACATGTCTACCAATTCTCTTTTAGATAAGGGAGGTTGGACTCTTCCTGCCAAATCCCTCCATTTTTGCGCATAGTCCTTGAAGCCTTCACTCGAGACCATGGCCATACTCTGGAGTTGAGCACGGGTAGGCGCAAGATCAGCGTTGTATTGGTATTGTTTGTAAAAGGCAGCGGCCAGATCTTCCCAGTTATGAACATTTTCTCTTTCTAACTGATAAAACCAATCAAGTTGAGTTCGAGACAGACTGTCTTGAAAGAAATGTACCCATACTAGTCCCAACTCCTCAAAGTCCAATCCAGGCACTTTTTGGATTTCCATTGCGCTTAACCGTTCTTCTAGATGCTTATACTTGTCATCGGCTGGAGGATATTGTTCTTCAGAATAGTCTTCTTCTTCCTCTTCCTCTTCTGACTCTGACTGGACAACTGTTTCTTTTCCCTTCCCATCTTGATTGTCTTTCTCACTGGATGTCTTTCCAAAGTCTAAGGCCCTTCTTGTTTTCCCTTGGAATCTTCTTCCCATGTTTAGAACTCTGTTTATATTCTTCGTCTTATTTTTCTTCTCCTCAACCAGCAAGGTCTTCAACTCCTCTTGTCCTTTGGCTAGAGTTAAGAACGTCTATTGAAACTGAGTATTTTGAGCTTGGAGGTCCTTCATCATTTGCTCAAGATCCATCTTACTGAAATAAATAGTAGAAAGATGAGGAGACTTGTTTCAAGAAACCTGCTTATGTTATGATGAATGGTAAATGCGTATGCAATGATTTCAAGGATCTTAAAGATTCAAATTTTTTTAGACAAAAAGGAAACACATGTTATATTAATAAATTAAAGCTTGAGTACATCAATGCCTCCTTGGGAAAAACAAATACAAGAAACTCTAAGATAGAAAGGTAGTACGCATCCTCTTTGGTTCGATGTAGGCATTCAAGTTCCTCTCCTCATGAAGTTTCTTAGTGAGTTCCAAAACCTTCTTCTCGCTTACGTAGAATTGGGCTTCGAAAGTATCTCGCTCCCCCTTGAGTTGTATCCAATCCCTTTGTAGGTCTTAAAGAGAGGTGGACATGTCAGGATGTAGGATAGTGTATGGAACATCTCCTTCCATAACAGGCTCAATGATTACCGGGAGAATGGAAGGATAAGGCATCATAAGACTTTGAGCACGAGTTCATACCCATTTTAGGTAAGGCTCAAGAGGGACGGAATTCTTGTGCCCCAATGTCTTTCTATCTACCTTGTTCAACATCCTCCAAGCTCGGATATATCTTTGGCGAAGACCTTGATCGTTGTTCTTGTAGTCAAATACCAAACCTTGAATCAGCATCTCATGTGGGCCATCCCTTCGGGTGTAACCAAACTGTCTTAAGGCTAAACAAGGGTTGTAGGTGATACCTTCCCTAATGCCAAGCAAAGGGACATTAGGAAATTCTCCACAACGGTCGACAATAGTAACATTATCTATGGATCGGGAGCACCAATGAATGTCTGAATGTTTGAGCGTCATCAACCTTTGTGACCACCTTGAACCTTGCTCGTTCTTCAATACAGATTGGGGAAGATGCAAAATAAACCATCTTGCCAAGAGTGGAGTGCAACACTTAAGCACACCTCTTTTCCTCATTGTGCGAGTGTGAAAAGAATGTAGGATGTCACCTAACAATGTAGGTACCGGGTTGCGGGATATGAAGATTTTGACGGTGTTCACATCTATGAGTTGGTCAAGATTTGGAAACAGAACTATCCCATAGATGAGGAGAGCCACAATTTCCTCAAAGGCTTGCAAATCCAAAGAGTTCCAACAGTTTTGGACTTTCTCGAACTAGAACTTTGCTAGGAAACCTTTGACACCACTCCTTGTTTCCCAATGAGTTGTGACATCAGATGAGTGCAAGTGTAGAGCTTGAGCAATCTCTTCTGGCTTTGGGTCTCTTTCCGTACCATTGAGAGGTAGTTGATTGAGAATTGGAATCCTCAAGAGTCGGGAGAATTCTTCCAAAGTTGGCACAAGTTGATAATCGGGAAATGTGAAGAAATGGTGTAAAGGATCAAAGAACTGAAAGAGCACCTTCATCATGTCCTCATCAGTGTTAGAGGTGACCAAGTTGAGTAGGCGACCTTGTCTCTTGGTGAATGGAGAGTTTTTAGGAATCCTTGAAGCTAGCTCCTTAAGTTATGGAGGGATCCTTACGAGATTGACTTGAATAGTTTTCCTGCGAAGATAATCCATATCCTACAAAACAGAACAAAGATAAATCTCAAGATCCTTGAAATGGTTAGTGAATGTGTATGATGTTATGATGTTCATGATGTTATGTACAAGTATGTATATACAAACAAAGCAAACAAGTCCTTAGGTTTAGGCTTGCATGGGGTATCATAGGTAAGTACCCTCTTGAAGTTTAGTTGGCTCAACCTGTCCTAGTAATAGTAACTGGGTTCTAAGGAGCTCAATATCACTGGTTTGTTTCCTTGGTCATTGTTTCAGCACAAGCCTCTTTAATGGCGACCGAAATATCCCAAGAAACCAAACCTCAATGAGTGTAGTATCGAGTATCTACCAACTTCGGACTGCACCAAAGACGGTCATCTCACTACGACCTAAAGGCCAAGTTGGTCAAGTAAAGGTTCT